AGGTAAATCTTAAGATACTATCTGTGAGACATCTTGATTTAATTACCTTCTGAACTTCAAGAGCAGAATTAACAACAGCATTCCAAGTGATTCTGAAACATGAAAGTTTCATAATTGTGCCTGAATATGTGAGCCAGTATTGCTGTCATTTCTGAAGCTATCATTTTGAAATCAGACCTGTGTGGGTCAATGCTTTCTGCAGGTTCTCCCCATCTTCAAGTAGGCTCTGTGGGGTGGAGGGTCCCCTGGTATTTACCTGCTTGCCAGGCCAGGGGTAGGTGCTCCAGAACCTTTTGGGGTCTGCCTGGGGTGGAGATTATCCTATTGAAGTTTGTACTGTATTGTCGTATTCTCCAGTCTTTTGCTAAGAGGTCCCTGTAAAAGTAGCTTGTCCATCTTTCTGATAATTAGCTTTGCTCTCTAATGCAAATTCTTAACTTTAAGTGTTTCAAGTTCCCGCTAAGTTTTAGAATTTGTTTTCTGGAGTGACAGAGCTTTCATTAGATTGTTTCATTTTGCTTGGTTTTCTGTCAGGTTCTTTTTTTTGCTTGCTTTGTTCAGGATCCATCAACATAAAACACTCATGAAATTACTATTTAAAAGCAAATCTTGATATCTGTTTTAATATTTAAAAACTATGTAGGGGGAATAAATAAGCATCAAGAATGGCAAATATCTTTCATGTGGGTTAAGCAAAGGAATGTGAGAAACTTCTTGTTCTGAGGCATACCAGTAATTCCCATTATAAGAATCAATGTGTGCTAACCAAACTTGAGCACTTCCAGCAACTTATTACCTAGTACTTGTCAGCATGAGGCATTCTCATACGGTTTGCTGTGGTATTTGTGGCATTTTTGGTTGGTGTAAATGATCTTGTCATCTACCCTTGCCTCTCCAGTAAAGGTAATGGTCCAACTTGAAATGGCTCTGCCAAGCTGTATACCTTACCTCAGCTGCGGTTAGTGGGCTTGCCAAGCTCTCTGCTGAGCTGCAGGGGGACCAGAGGCCAGAAAATGACTTTGCTCTTTTAACACAGCCCTTTCCCTCCTTTGCCTCATTTATACCCCCTCTCTTTACAATTTGTTTAAAGATGTCTTCAGAAATTGTATTCGTACAGCTGGCTTGAACCTAGGTGCACAATATTACTTCCATTGACATTTTTAAATAAAAAGGGAAAAAAAAAAATAGCATTTATTTCTTTCCAAGAGCTGAGTACCTTGCATATGTTTCTGAGGTGACTTCAGTGCTTGTTTTCTGAATGCGTGTGCTTGAGAGGACTGCCTCTATGTTCTTTAGAAATTTTCAAGCTGGCAAGACTGAACTTATATGACTGCATTTTTTTAAGTTTATGTAAATTGCTTCCAATGTATCATTTAAAATAACCTAATTTTGAAAATGAGTCTGCTAGTGTGATTTCCCTAATTTTGAGAGAGTTTACTACCATGTAGACACTCTGTTTTAAAAAGAATTTCCCCTACTATTAGTATATTTTAGTGTCATTTTAAAATTTTGTTACAGGCACAAAGTAGAACATTGGAAATAAAAGTGCTGATGTGCTGATTCTGTAAGTACTTTTGTAGATATGCAAACTAAGTTTATGTTTTACCGACCCAACTGTGGCTATACAAATGCTTACTGCGCAGATGAATTTACAGCATGAAGAACTAAAGCTGTGTATTTAACAATTGGCCTTCCCTACCCCCAAGTCTTTGTCCCTTCAGGGCAAGTATTTCCAGTCTCATATTTAGAGGATAAGTTCTGTAAACTTCAAAGCTGCCAGATGTTATGGGAGGTTGTATTATGGTCAAAGCATTATCAGATTACTTCTTAACAATGCAGTTGCACTGTAAAAAAGCAGTTTTTCAAAAACTGTTTTTTTTTGCTGAAGCACAAGCTGGTTGTTTATCTTGTGTGTGGGTATGTGGAGTTTTTTTACTCTTCTATTTAAAAACAAAAAAAAAAGCCTTGGTCATATTATTTTCCAATACGTATGAATTTGTGTGTGAAGTAAGTATAACAGGATAAGACAAAATACCTTCCGTGCTGCCATTAACCCTCCTTGTAGGTAGTTAACAAACAAAAAAATCCTGAAAACCTAACATTAATGCAAACAGTTGTTCATAGAAATGGACTTGCAAAGGAAAACTAGGTAGCTAGGCAAGTTAAAGTAAGTAGAATTGTAAAGCACAATGACAGTAAAGTACTGATGTTAGATATGAAAGTTGATTTTAAATAGATCTTTTAACAGTAGAAAAGTTCTGAACAATACTCTCTTTCTTGCAGACATTACTCCTACGCTTAAAAATAATTAGTTTTAACTTACTGTACTTTGCTTGCCTTCAGATTCAGAGCAATTGATCAGTCAATATGTCTGTGTGGTGAGGCTGTGGCTGCTTTCTGGCTGGTACATCCTTCTCTCAAGGATAGTGACTAAACTGCAAAAACATTCAGAATAAGATTAGCAACTGCTGTGGAATTGTATCTTACTTGCTCAGTTATGAACAGAAAAGAAACCTTGAAGGCTAAGAGCCTCTGTTGTTTTAGTTCTTGTGAAATCTTTTAAAGAGAGAAGAACTGTGAGTGCTGGAGTCAGGAGAGGTGGGACAAGTGCCTCTCCATCTGTATGGCAGGGGCTGGGAAATGTGAGGATTCACTATTTTCATCTGCTGCCTTTCTGATACAAGCAGGAGTAATCTATTGGAAATAGTCTAATTCCAGATAAAAAGCTTGCTTTTTGTCTCAATGCCTTACAGGCCTAAGAATTGCTGTTTAAACACTGACAGCATGTTTTTCTGACTCCTAATGCAAAATGTAAGTTGAGAAGTCAAGTGGATAATTGTAAAGAATTGTCTGTTTGTGAGGTTGCATTTGTCAGGATGAAAGCTTTGCACCATAAGAGGGAGTAAGAATCAACCAAGACCCCAAAGCCAGTAACAAATGGCAATTCATTTTGAGCACGGATGCACAGAGAATTTTCTGGATTTTTGAGAGCGTGTTTTGAAGTACTAGGTTACTTGTTTAACTTTGGTCAGCATGTTGAGCTAGCCAGAGTTTCAGTAACGTCTTCGTCAGGATGAGAGCAGGAAAACTGACTGACAGTGAAATCAGTAAACTATTCATCTTATTGAAGACCTGATTAAATATAATGTGATTAGTTGTATTCAGTGAATGTATTTATTGAAATATTGAGCCATACTGTGTACAAAGTGTCTGTAGGCTTTGATAGAATATTGTTGTAACTGCCAAACAAGGTACCTTCTGTGTGCCATATGTTGTCTCTTGATAGACTGTTCTTATGGGGCTGAAATGGGAAGAATATTGGCTTTTAAGGATAACGTAATGTAATCAATCTAACTATTTTAATAAAATAGTTATTTATGAAATACAGGTTTTTAAGGCTTCCTCCCAGCACCATTTGCCTACACCTGAGTTACCTGGCTGCCATAATTGGACAGTCTGAAGTACCTGGTGTTCAAGACAGGATTGGGTTTATGTATATGTGATAACATCTATAGTTTGACTTACAGAGCAAGGTGGCAGGGATATTTATAATCTGTCTCTAACCGTAAAGTCTTTTCTCTCTTGTGATTGCTGTTGCCAAATGGAAGAGGGCCACTCAAGTTTCCATTAGAATAAGAGGAGGATATCCCCCGCTTCTGATTTTGCCAACACTTTTGTTAATGTAGAGCTTTATAGCAGGCATTGCAATATGAACATAGGGCATGTGAAAATGGTCAGCATAAAGGCAGTGACATTGAGTTGGGAAATAGTGATGCTGGAGGATGGTATTTCTGGAAAATGTGAACTTTAAAGAGACTTGCAGAGGGAATATTTTCTGAACGTGAAATGGTGGTTTCAGATGTTCAGACACACGGGACAGAAGTGCAAGCAGGAAAACAGGTGGGTAGCAAAATGAGAATTGGGAAGAAGTATATCAGATGAATTCTAATGAAGGCAGGCTTGTCTGTTTTACATCTTGTGATGAATGGTGGGTGTAGTGTACTTTGAGGTGCCTAAGAACTCCTGTGAAATGACAGTGAACAGGAGATACTTGTAGAAGTGGAGATAAAGGTGAAATTATTTTTTGGGAGTGTTAAGGTGAGGGCAAATGAGAAGATGATAGTGAGGAGATCTGAGGATAGAGTTGCATTACCATCATGAAGACAGAACTGGCTCTCCAAACCTGCAGCTGGCTTAGCCTGGGGAGATGCAGAAGGGCAGTCAGAGGAAAGGAGCTGGTTATCAAGGTGTGTTGCAGCCTGGACTCACAAAGGTGAACACAGTGTGAAGATTGCACAGGGATTTGGAGAGAAATCCTGTGCTGAAGTGAGATACTGAGCGGGAATAGGAGACACACTCCAAAAGTGTTGGGATTTTTAGTAAGTGTTTTTTGGGGGGAATGAGGCAAGGGAAGGGCTGATGAGAACTTGATTTTGGAGCAAAAATCAGTATTCATATTAGCATACTTTGAAAAGTTTTACATATGTAGGTGGTGCTGCATGCAAACTGGATATGCTGGATAATTTTTGTGAGTTAATAGTATTACCAGTGGTAGTATGACACTTCATGATCCTGGTGTGGAAACAGTTGACTCATCAGAGTGTGATTTGCATACTAATTATAACATAGCTAATTATTGTATTTAAAAGGAGTATGCAAACATATTGGCACCTTTCCTCCTTAGAAATACTTCTTAGTTAGAAAACTAAAATTTTCAGTAGTGGATGTTGCAAAGCTGAACTTCTTCACATATCAGTGACTTTAACTTTAAGCGGAGATGATAATAAAAATAAATTTAAGCAGCTGTTCTTTTTTTGTATTTTCCTCTTAACTGTAATGGTTAACCACAGCATGGTTTCTTGAGATAACGCTTTATGGCATGGAAGCACCTTGTTTGGTATGTATAGATTACAAAATCATATTGTTGGGCTTAACAGCTGAGCAATAAATTAGCCCCAAGCATAGTGCGATGTGGTCAGCTAACGCTCCCTGATCTGTATTTCACATGTGGTGCTCTGTTAGCCCTCTCTATGCTTTTTCCATTCTGTTTCCTGAAAATCTTTTCCAAAACACTTTACTGGCCTTTATTTTATTAATTACAAAAATCCATATTTCTGTTTTGGTTTGTTTCCCTGCAGGCAGCATCATAAAATCTTAATCAAGTGAAAATGGCCTTTAGCAATCTGACATCAAAGGCTGTACTACTGTATGATGAATGGATTAAAGATGCTGGTGAGTCATTTAAATCTAAAACTTACTAACTTTCAATAGTTTTGAATAGCAATGTGTAGCTATTCTAGGTGTACTGTTGATCAATCTAAAGTAGCTTTGTCTTCCTGTAAATGTTTTTAAGACTTGCCGGGTTACCTATTGGCATTTTTAGCTATAAAGAACAGAGTAATACCTGCATTTTAAAAAAGGAAAAAAGCAAAACTCATCTAGTTTATGAGTATAACCTCAGACTAAATAAAGTGCAGACAGTGATTCTTCTGTAAGAGTTTCTGGCTTGCTTGAATATATAGTTTACATTTCTTGTGTGCTGCTGAATGTAAATCTTTACCTCTTTTTCATTACCAAACAATGGTATTTTATCAGTTAATTAGGCTAGGTGCATGGTGTTACTGTATTTTGCTTTTGCAAAATGAAAGAAATAAAATCCCCTATAAGTTACAGTATCTTGAAATTAAACCTCAGAGTAATTAACTCTGTCACAGTTCTGTTTTGAAAAGGAATGTAAGTCTTTTGTTGCAGCTGGTATGGTGATATTAAATACACTTTGCTTTAATGTTGTTGGTCTGCAGTTCTGCATGCTTATCAAAATGATGGGGAAGATCTCAAGTTTGGGGTTAAGACCCATCTGTCACAGTGGCATCTCTGAGTGTTCCTCACTGTGGTGGGCATATAGTGACAGAGATTAGCCGATTCTGGGCAAAAACTTGAGAAGCAGTTAAGGTTTGATCAATAAAATTACTAATTTAACTTTTCCAGTATAGCTGAGAACCATTAATGTTCTTCTGTAGAACCATAGCATGCAAGTGAGAATGGAGTTTTATCAGTATGACTGATCGGCAGGAAGTGGATTGGGATGGAGCTGAGTGATGGACTATTTCTGCTGCAAAGTCCAGGACCTCAGAGTTTTGAGTTGCTTGTTTCCCTGCCTTACCAGTGCTTGTACTTGGCATCTCATAGCATACTGTTAGTGGTGGGGCATGGTTTCCTCAGGATCAAGCTGGGAAGACCAATAGGAAAGTTTTGGTAGTGCCAGTGCAAGGGATGGATGCAAAAAAAGCAGTCAGTGTGAAGAGCTGGTGATTCTCTTGCAATGCAACACATACAGGTGCGTGGTGCTGTGGCTCACAGTCCTTGTTGGTCTGTCGACAGCAGCACTGGCCACATTATAGACTGTCAGCAGCATTGTTATGTGCTTGCTTTCTCAATCGGTTTTAAAACTTCCAGTGGCTGTAAACAACATCAGAGGGTCTCATGGGTGATAGGTTGCTTGAATGTTGTGGGTTGAAAATCACTGACTTAAGACATTTGGCCATGAATTAAACACTTAACAAAAATTGCAGTGGTATTACTTCACCCTCAAGATACAGCAGCAAGCCATGAAAGCAGCAGTTTACTGAGTTAATAGTTAAGTTTGGGGTCATTCAGAAATGAATCTTCCAAAAGTCAGTTTATAAAAATTAAAAAAAAATATATATTACAAAAATTCATGAAGCTTGTATCAGTTCTCCTGCCTATGGAGAAATGTGGAGGTCTTTTGTGAGCTCCGGCTTGGTGATGAATGACAGAAGGGTGCAGTGGAATCTCAGTGAAGCTCAGAGGGAGTGCCTGCCAGCCTCCGCTGCAGGGTGAGGGAGCAGGGCTTGTGTAGGAGGAGGACTCTCTGCGATATTTCTTTCTGGGATAGCTGGAGAGGAACTTGCAACACTTTTGTCATTTGGAGGCTTGTAATATGAAAGCGTGTGTTTTATGGTGCTGTAAAAGTGGTGACGTGTCTAGATGGAATAGGCACAAACCTGAAGTACTAAGGTATGAATACCAACTGATGGGACAGAAGATCTTCTAACTTTAAGATCCCCTTACTTACTGCGTCTAATGTTGTACTGCTTATAAAGCTCACGGATCCTGAGAAGTGGAGCTGCTCCCTGTCTGTGACTTGAACTTGTGAAAAAAGGCTCATGCTTTTCCAGAAGAGCGAAGTCTCACGTGGAAGTGCAGCATCAGTGATCTGCTTGTGCGTTGCCATCCTGTGCTGCCCTCTGAGCCCCGTTCACGTGTGAAAATGCAGACTTTTCATGAAGGAGAGCTCTAGATAGAAAATTGCGTCACTCATGATTCTGTCTCCTCTTCGTTACATGTGAAGAATTGATGCAGAAGGAAGTGTTGAATCCTACAGGTGCTAAATCTTGTTATCCAGTCAGTATGGATTTGAGGTGAATGGACTCTGAAACATGATCAGGGACAGCAAATCTAAACTCCTAAAAAATTTAGTACCTTTCTGTAGCCATTTTAGGATTTACTAAGTACTGGAAAGATCTGATTTCTTTTTTTTTTTTTTTTTTTCCCCCACCCCCCTTCCCACCTCTCCCCTGCTGTAGATCCAAGACTGGAAGGCTGGCCACTCATGTCATCACCTTTTCCAACAACCTTTATCATTGGAACCTACATTTATTTTGTCACTTCCTTGGGACCCAAACTCATGGAAAATAAAAAACCTTTTGAACTCAGGCAGATAATGGCATTTTATAATTTTAGTGTGGTAGCCCTCTCTTTATATATGACTTACGAAGTAAGTACAACTTTTATTTGTAATGTATTTACATATTTCATGTCTCTACTAACTTTTAATGAATTTATTAATATAATTCCCACTCTGCAATTCTCAAAAAAAATTATTATTCTGATGGTTGTAATTATATTCCGCCAAGCAGTATGTTAAATTAATTGAGCTGATACTTGAAAAAAGAGAGTAAGTCATACCTGGAAAGAAAAACTGTAAAATATTCTATGCCATTATATATAATTTACAAAATTAAAAATTCTCATGACTGATGATATTTCCCTGGGCTGTAGCAGGTAAAGCGGACTACATGCATTTCTCAGTCTGTTGCAATTGTTTCTGTCCTCCTATGTGATAGTGAACACTGATGTTTCAAACACTGTATAGAGTATGTTTACTACGGAAAAATCTTCAGTTAGATCTGCCTTTTAAATGACAGAAGTTAAAACCTAATTTGGGGATCTTCATACTTTTAAAAGACAAAACAACCCCGTCCCCAACCAAACCCAACCCCCTCGAACCATGGAAATCTTTAGCATTGATTCTGCGCGCCCCC